TGCTGCCTCCTCTCCCCCTTCTTCTTCTTGCTGTTCTTCTGCAGCAGCAGCAGCAGCAGCAGCAGCAGCATGCAGAGGTCGTGCATGCAAATCTGGTCGTGGTTTACCTCTGCAGCAACGTAAAGTATATAGAAACCTAGCTCGACAGACACCGCGTGTACAAGGCTTAACGTTTGACCACAATCAAATAAGATGGATTTCTTACTGGAAAAACGAAAATAATAAACAAGTACAAAAACATTTTCCTGTTTCTCGTTATGGCTTTTTAGGGGCCCGCAGATTGGCGCTAGAGGAGAGAAACAGAATCATGGGGAGGCCCCCAGACCTTGACGAAGCAGCAGAAGCGATAGCTCACCTATGTGTAGACTCCACCTTTCCTTGTCTTCTCAACTGCAGGTGCTCGCTGCATGCAGATAAAAAACACCAGCAGCAGCAGCAGCAGCAGCAGCAACAGCAGCAGCAGGTTGCGGGGCTGCAGCAGGATGTACACTCCACGGATTTCAATGAACTCAGTGGCGATGATGCTGCTGCTTCACATGACACACAACAGCAGCATATACAGCAGCAGCAGCAACAGCAGCAGCAGCAGCAGCAACAGCAGCAGCAGCAGCAGCAGCAGCAGCAACAGCAACAACAGCTGCAGCAACAGATGCAGCAGCAACACATGCAACAGCAACAGCAGCAGCAGCAGCAACAGCAGCAACAAATCCATCAGCATAACGCCCAACTCTCAGCTGCTCCAACCGCAATGCCAACAGCACCCGCACCAGCAGCAGCAGCAGCAGCAGCAGCAGCAGCAGCAGCAGCAGCAGCAGCAACAGCAGCAGGAGTACCGCAGCAGCAGCAACACCCAGGCAGCTTTAACGAGACAGAGATTCTAGCAGCAGCTCCTGCGCTGCCGACGTTCCCTCAAGGTGTGCAGCTAGACAAGAGCAGCAGCAGCAGCAGCAGCAGCAACAGCAGCAGCAGCAGCAGCAGCAGCAGCAGCACAGTCTGCTGCTCGGACTTCTTGCTGCAAGGCAAGGGGGAGAACCCTGACGAGCTGCTGCTGCTGCAGAGCATGACCCGCGCTACAACAGCAACATCAGCAGATGCAGCAGCAGATGCAGCAGCAGATGCAGCAGCAGATGCAGCAGCAGAAAGACCACTGGTCACCACCAACAGCAGCAGATCAAGCGCAACAGGAGGATTCGATGAGGAGACAAACAACAGCATTGAAGACACAGACGCATGCACCTTGTCCTTCTCTCCTGCTGCTGCAGCAACTCCTGCTGCTGCTGCTGCTGCTGCTGTTGCTGCTGCTGCAGCAGACCCTGCAGCTGCAGCTGCTGCTGCTGTTGCTGCTGCAGAGCCAGTTGCAGCTGCAGCAGCAGCAGCAGCAGCAGAACCTGTTCACAGCTACACAGGAGAAAAGCAGATCGTGTCTCCTCTGATGCCTTCTGCTGCAGCAGCAGCAGCAGCAGCTGCTGCTGCTGCTGCTGCTGCTGCTGATCAGCAGCAGCAGCAGCAGGACCCATCCTGCTGCTCTTTCACAGCAGAGGTGAGAGCCTGCAGCTCTGCCTGTATATAAACACACAACCCCTCCCCTCCCCAC